GAAATGCAACTTCAAATAATAAACAGATAATGTGAAATTAAACAGAACGGTTGTGTGAAGTTTGGATGTTATTTATTTATGTGTTTAATTTTATATTCTTTTAATTTTTCCTGCTCAAAGGCACTTACCCCTCAGCACTGGGGTGTGCCCAGGACTCCTAATGGGATCCCCACCTGCTAAGAAGAGACCTGGCACCAAGGCTCACCCTGTCAGAGATTTCCCTGTCTCCAAAGCCACTTCCTCAGCTTCTCCAGTCCTTCAGAGCATGCTTTCTGTGCCAGCTGGTGCCAGGAGTGCAGGAGACCTTCCTGGGGTGGTGTCCCTCTGTCCCACCCTGTGCAGAATCAGTCAATAAATCTCCTGGAAAGTGTGAGCACTATCTGGCCAGCCCTGCTGCCTTGTTCAGTAGGTCAGGAGCCAGGACAGGGCTGGATTTTTCTCATGGTTTTGATAAGAGAATTCAATAATATATCTTGAATAAGATAGCAATCCTCTGTGCTGCAGATACAGCCAGATGGAAATATGGGCACACCCAGACTTAGTTCATGAGGGCAGGGAAAACCAAACCAAAGGCTTTCAAAGACCAGGTTTATGATAGGACTTGCAGTCCTTTGCTGACGCAGAGTTTAATCACACTGATCTGAGCTGGTTAATAAAACTTCCAACAAGGTGATAAAGATATTTCATGTTTGCCTACTCTTATAAAATTAGCTACAGTTCAGGCATTTTGCACCTTTATTCCATGACCTATTTTTAGTCACAGTAACTGTGATAACTGCGGTGGTGATGCATTTTAAAAGCTAGGTAGCACAGTAATGGTAGGTCTGATTGATAGAGAGATGAATTGAGAGGTGTAGAGTTGCTTCTAGTCCAGCATGATGTTGTGGGACATTTGTTTTTGCAGGCAAATCTGATCTTGTTTCGAAACTGCAGTCTCAGCTGTGTAAGAGGGATGACATGTGACAGCACTGACCTGGCAGAAGAAATTAAGAAAAAAATATTTTCAGTCACTCCCTGTCCACATTATGGCTGTGTTACTGTTGCTTCTTACTGAGATTCTTTAAAGATTTCCAGTTTGAATGAGAGATATCTTTTCCCTCCTTCTAAACTTTTTTAGTGGTGATTATTTTTTTTTGTGCGGTGTAATCTCATTCAAAATTAGCAAACAGCTTCTGTTGACTTATGATGTCTACTGGGGTGGATGCTGCAAAAAAGTAGACTTTCCAGTCCAGCAAGTGGGAAAAGGTCTCTGCAAGCTGGAGATAGGAGTGTAAGCACCAAGTCAGCTACAGGCAGCCTTGTGTGACTCTGAGCACGACTCTGTGTCCAGTCATCCAAAGCAGAACTTCTTGGAATTACAGAAAAACAAATAAGTAATTTATTAGTACATTTTTGGGACTTATTTTGGGCAAGTTCAAAGGTCAGCCTAAGCATCTTTGATATATGAGTATCTATCCCTACATAGCAGTTTTCTGTGCCAGACTGAAATGGGAGACAGGCTCTTTCCTAACAATGTGCAAACAAAGAGTTTGTGATTAACAGCAATGTCACGAGCAGCTGCCAAGGGCTTGCATTTGACATCAGGGAGCATGGCTCAGATGCACTAATTATGCTAAGTGGTGCTGATAACACAGGAAATGTTGGAAGCATTTTTCCTGTGTTGGAAGGTAATAGTACAAACTGACCTGTTGTCACTTAAGTGCATCCTGAGAGATGAATGGCATAGAAGTCACTGCTCTGTAATTCCCTGGGGTGCCAGATGCAGAGGAGATCACCTCCAAGAACATGTGGGGTGTCTTTTATAAACATAGAATGGCTGAGTTGGGAAGGGACCACAGTTGGTCATCAAGTCCAACCTCTCTGCACCTGGAACACATTACTTAGAATTGTGTCCAGACAGCTTTTGAGCATCTCCAGGGAAGATCTCCACAGTCTCTCTGGGCCTCCTGTTCCAGTGCTCAGCCACCCTCACCAAAAATTTTCTTCATTTTCAGGTGGGACTTTCTGTCCACCAGTTTCTGCCCATTCCTCTTGTCCCATTTGTCAGCACCACAGAGCAGAGCCTGCTCCCTGCTCTGACCCCTCCCTGCAGACAATGACAGACATGGCTGAAGTCCCCTCTCAGTTGTCTCTTCTTGGGGCTGAGCAGGCCCACCTCTCTCAGCGTGTCCTCATCACTGAGGTGCTCCAGTCCCCCCATCACCTTTGTACCCTTGTTCCAGACTTGCTCCAGGAGTTCCACAGTGATCCTCAAGTGAGGACCAGATTACAATGATTCCATCCCATGTCATATCGTGGAGGTGCTGAAGGCCCTAATTCACATATTGAGAGGAAAAGTCCCAAAAGCCTCACAGCTATGGGGGTGTTTTCCCCCTGTGGAGTTAGGCTGTACTCACTTATTCTTTAGAGCAGTTTCTCTTCCTCTGGAAAACAGAGAGGTTGGAGAAATTACACTTGGGGTAATATTACCTTTTGTGTGTGTTTGCTACAAATATAAGAAAGATTCACTCTGCAAGATGTAAAAGCAACAAATAAGTTTTCTTTGATGTAGCCAAACAGCTACTGAGAGCAGATGTTGGAGTCAGGGTAGCTGGAAAAACGGGAATGCTTTTTTGAGCAAAAGAGATTCTTCAGCTTTCACAGGTAAAACAATTTAAATAGTGAATCTGACAACAGGACAGATGGATCCAGATCACTAAGTAGCAACACATGTTTTCTCTTGGGGCTTTCCACTTGTGGTTTACCAGCCATGCCACAACAAAACTCTTTCCCTTTTCTGTGAAAGTGAGTCCATTTATTAGTCTTCCTCCAAAGCTGCATCAACTGTTGCTTTCTTGTGTTTAAGTGAGCTGCTGTCTTCAATGAAGGCAGAGGGATGCTGGTGCTCCTGTGCAAGACTGGTCTGGGGGGAGTGCAATGAGCTGGTTTCAGTTCTGGAAGCAGGAGTGTGTGCTGTACCTTTGCTCTGCTTGGGGTTGTGGAGTTGGGTGAGAAAGGGATGAATCAGCCCAGGCTTAGTGCTGCCTTCAGGCTGCTGCCTGGCTTTTGTGGAGTTTGTTGTGCTGTTGGAGGGATTTTGTTGTGTGAGCCAAAAGAAAGCAAAGGTGGTCAGCTCTGTGTTGTGTTTGTCTCCCCTTATCTGAGGCTTTTGAAAAGGAGCACTGAGGGATGTGGCTAAAATAAAACTCACTTTGGGGGGAGGCAATGGCTTGGATTGACTTGTCTCTGTGTGTTGGTAGATTTAGTCAAACATCTAGAAGAATGAATAGATTTTATTTAAAATATAAACATGGCAAGTGAAGACAAAAAACTGTTGTTACAAAATTCCCAAATCCTTTGAATGTCATCTAGGATTTGCTGACCTCCAGGAATAGCTGCAACCCTAATCTAAATGAAAGCACAGATTTTGCAAGAAAAGGCTTTTGTATTTAGGTGTATCCCTGAAGTAGCCCAGAAGTAAGAAAACCACTCTAAATTTGTTTCAATACCATATTGCAGAGTCACTGCTAGGTCATTTATATCTTTGAACCGTTACAGTTGCAGAATATAAAAGTGGAAAGCGCAGCAACTCAGCTGGGAGCTTCCCTGGGGGTATTGCTTTGACAAAAAATAACTGCTGCACTATTGCCAAATGGTCCTGCTTCCACATGATGTGAGCACAACAGAATTTTCACTCGGCTGGAAATTGAAAGCTGATCTTCATATGAAAAATCAGTGTCTGAGCTCACAGTTGCTACTGGACACAGAACTCTTACACACAGAGCAAGAACAAACAAGGCTCTGATTTATTCACAAAAATCATAAAATTTTAGTCTAGCAACTGGTGTAGGAGAGGTCAAGTGTTTCCAGAGCTCAATTTAAAATAACAATCTCCATCTGCCCATGACAAGATGGGGAAGCTGTCCCATTTGGGAAAGATAGCTAGTAAAAATTCCTCCTCCTTCAAAATTTCATATTATCAGCAAATTTTACTGTTTTGCTATTTTCAGCCAGTCAGTTTGGCTGACTTGGGGCTGAAACAGCAAGGCACATGCACTGGCACAAGGAAAATGCAGCTCTTGGCTTTCTGGGCATTCATGGACAGCACACTGATAGAATGTGTTTTTTGTTCTTTTTTGTTTTGTTGGGTGTGTGCAAGGATGAGACACAAGCACAAGTCCAGTTTAAAACATTCAGTTTAAAATCCTCCCTGGAAGCCACAGGAAGGTGCTTAAATAAAGATTCAGTTGAATCAAGCAGAGCTCAACCACAGTTTTTGTTCCATCCTGAGAAGGGTAAGTCCAGGTAACATGACATTCACATAGCAGAGAGCACTATTTTTAATTGTGCTCTTTTAAAAAACACAGCCTGTTTTTTTCTCACAGCTGGCTCCTGTTGAAAGTGGAAGTCCCCTTTTTAGGTGGAATATTTGGTAAAAACCAAAATATTGCTATCAAGGCTTAAAGAAGGCACCTTCCCTTATGATACCAAATTCAGTATTTGACCCCATTAGAGCAACTCCTGTTTTTGGAGGACTGGGTCAAAGTGTTCTGCCTGGTTCTGTACACAGTAGCAGTTGGTGAAAAGAGACAATGAAAGGATTGTAGTCTAGACAGAGAAACATGGAAGAGGTCACAAATCTCACTCTGCAGAGCCCTTCAGTTTTCTTTCTTGGTTTTAGCTGCCTTTCTTCCCATGCAGTAGCCATCCTCAGGGTAAGGTGACAGCAAGAACATCCCATGCTCCTGAATGTGGCTGCTCCTGACAGTCCTCAAGGATTGTGGTGAGAGGCTGGACAGTCACCAGCTTCCAGTGGTCTGGCACAGAGCAGCTGAGTCCCAGGCTTTCTGCTTTCCCCAGTACAGGTGTCCAAATCACTGACAATCACAGAGGACTGTCCAAAGTGCTGAGCTGGAGTGCTGACACAGCTGTTCTGTGGACACAGTCAGTGGCTGGAATGAAAATCCAGCAGATTTTCCTCTCTCTTGTGCTCTAGAAGCTTTTATTTAATTTTTTTTTTGCCATCTCTCTTGGCAGAAGTCTGTCACTTGTATTATAAACAATGCTGCCACTGAGGGAGTGATGCTTCTCTTGACACATCTCCAGCTGCCCAAATTGTTGGCAGACCTTCCATTTAGGCAGGTGCTGTAAGAACAAAAGAACTTATTTTAATAAAAAATAGACAAAAAAAACTTCTCCAGAAATAATCATTCATATGTAACCAGTGGAAAAAGCTTCAAAGCTATGGAAAAGACTTTCATGCTGCTGAGAGAGAACTGAATGGGGAGAAGTCCTGCCTGGATACCCAAGACACTTTTTATTTTAATAAAAAATAGACAAAAAACTTCCCCAGAAATAATAATTCATATGTAACCAGTGGAAAAAGCTTCAAAGCTATGGAAAAGACTTTCATGCTGCTGAGAGAGAACTGATGGGGAGAAGTCCTGCCTGGATACCCAAGACACTTGGGGATTTCTGTCCTCATGCCACAGTTGGAAGTGCCTCTCTGTGCAAATGGGAAAAGTGGCCTCCCTTGTGAAGGGATGTCAGTGTCACCTTGGGTTCATTTAAAACTATTTCAGAGAATGAGATGTACAAAGCCTCTCTGTGGCCAAGGGAAAACAGCTTCCCCTGGGTCCTCTAGGGAAATGAAGGAATTCCTTCAGGTAATAGTCCAGAACTGCTCCAGCACTGAATTTCTCCTCACCAGAGCTTCCTCCCCCACTGACTGGAATGGGTAATTCCAGATTAGTCTGGAAGGACTAATCCCACCAGGATGGAGTTACTCTTCTTTGCAATCTGCCTTCCTCCCAGTTTCCAAACTCTTTTTTGCCTTTGTAACAGCAAAGTTAGTTTCAGTAATCTCATTTTGGTTTGCAGTATTCAGGATCCTCACTGCCATGAAACAACCTGGCCTTCTTCATACAGCAGTACTGAAAAGCAAAATGCTGTGGCAGAGCATTCCCCTGGATGCACCTCCCCAGGGCCTTATCCCCCATCTAGCACCCACAACAAGATTGAAAATACCACGTAAGGATTGAATTAGACTGGAATTTCTCCTAAAGCTCATCTTTTGTTCTAAGGTAGTACCAGCTTGATTTCTAAATAATTCCTGACAGATACTGGTTTTCTCTTTTGTTAAGAAATCACAAAGCAGCAAACCTGGACTGATGGAGGCTTGATAGCCTGGACAAACTCTGCCTCAGTGCTCAACTATCATTACCCTTAGACAATCTCTTCTAACATCTGGCTTAAATCTCCTTTGTTTAAGTCTGCTGTGCCTTAACTGCAGTGTCAGCTGGGTTAGCAAAATAAATAACTTGTCCCTTCCTCTCAAAAGACACTCTGAAGAGGGTTGTTATTGTGTCCTTAATCCGCCTGGCCTTCTCCAGCCTAAACACACATAACCCATCTCTCACCAGAGATCACATTCCCTGGACCAGTTTCATTTCTCTGGTATTAATCCAAGTTTCCCTTAAATTGGGGTGCCCAAAACATGGCCCTCAGAGGTGGGACACCTTCTGTCATCAGTGAGCCACCAAAGAGGAGGTGCTGTCCCACCTCCTCTTCCACAAGTTGAGTGGAGAAATGACAACGAAAAGACAGCATCTGAAAGGTGCCTTTGGTTTGTTCTTAATGAACAAATCATGCTACAGCAGCCTTCAAGACAAACAAGATAAATATTTACTCTTATTTATGTCACAGAGGTTTTTTTACTAATGGGCTAAGTCCAGGGATCAGACCAAGAAGGGCCTGGTATAAGTCAGTCTGGAGAAGAAAAAGTTGACCTTAAATGAGCTGCTTGTGTTACGTCAATGCAGTTCCTAGGAACAAAAAGGAGAAAATGTCTCTTTATTTTAAAGAGAAAATCCATCCTCCTCCATAGATTATACTCTGCAGGAGGGAATGCAATGGCTGTTGATGTTTATCAACCACAAATGTTGGGGATCAGGCTATGGCCTGAAAAATAACTGACCATTAACCCAGTTCCTATGATGGTCAAAGAAGTTCCAAGAAAAGTAAAACCTTTTTTTACAGGTTTATTTATTTAAGGGTTATTTTGCTTCTGCTTGATACTATGAATTGTGTACATTCACAGCATCTGCTACAGCAAACCATGCTTTAACTAGTACAGTTTTAGTGAAACCACAATATTTCCTGCCTGTTCTGCAGAGACACACAGGCAACAGTGATTAGATTCAGTAGAAGCTACCAAATGAGATATCAAATAGGCAGATATTTCACCCTGTACTCTTGCAAGTCCTCTGTCCAATTTTTTTTCCCAAATCTGTCATTTTTCTCACTCAATTTTCATTTTTTCCCTACTATAAATAACAAATGAATTTGTAAACCAGCTGGCTTGCAATATTGCATGGCAATAAAAATAAAAATAAGAATATGGTGAAGGTCTGAAGAGCATGTTTCTTCTAGGAAAGGAGGTTTGTTTTTTTTTTTAATTGGGTGTGTATAGGCTCAGGTTCACAGACATGATGCAAATTATGTTCCTGTATCCCAGCTAAAGACCACCCAGGATGTAGTGCACAAAGAAATGCTTCAGTTTGTATCATCCAGCAAGTCTAATCTAAAGGCTTGTGCTGAACTTGAGTACTGAAGCTATGAAGTCATTTGAGACAAACAAAATAATATATTTTTAATACTTACAGCTGAGTCCTCCTTGGTCTTCTCTTTGTTGGACATCTGCTGAAACAAATGCATGGGTTTCAGCATGTAGGATATATAACGACAGAGTTCAGAAAAATGAGATTAACATTAAGCAACATCCACCAAAGCTGAGGGTTCAATGTGCTAAATGTTCTGTAAAATGCAATCCAATATTCTATTTGCTTACAACCCAGGCCACCATTTCAGAAAGGAGAGATTTTGGGATTGAAGTGATAGCCCTGCTCCCTGTCTTGAGACAGAGTCCTGCTCACTCTTGGGTTGTTTCTGTAGGAAGGACATGACTTCTACAAGAGCTGCTGCAGATCCTGCACAAGATCGTGACTCTGCTTTCCCCTGATCTTTTCTGAGGCACCCAGGGATGCTAACATTGAGGAAGAGGGCATGGACTGAAAACATGGATTGTCCCTGTCCATGAAAAGTGTGGTTGTCCCTGCTCTGTCCCTTAGATGTTGGCTCCTGGATAGAGGGTTAGAGCAAGTGCTCAGCTATGTTGGCAGACTCAGTCTGGTCCACAAGATGTCTCTTAGAGCTTTTTTTAGAGTCACACACGTGGGCAAATCCAGCCACATGAGGGTACCCTTGTGACCAGCGACATTTCTGCTTGATCCAGTAGGATCCTGACCCTGATCATCCAGCCAGTGACACTAAAGCTCTCAGGATTGAATTATGCTCTGATTTCTGCTTCGAACTGTGCTAAGCTGAGCAAGCTACTGACCCCGGTCCTGTTTCATGCCATCTGTCCAGAAGGAGCCTGCAGGGATCACAGCTGACAAATCATGGCCTGAACAGATACAAAGTCTGAGTTACTCTCACATCCAGAAATGACTTCCTGTGAGGCTCAGAATTCCCAGAATCACTGGGTTGGAAAGACCTTCAAGATCAGCGAGTCCAACCCAGCCCCAACAGCTCAACTGAACCCTGGCCCCCAGTGCCAAATCCAGGCTTTGTTAAACACCCCCAGGGATGGTGACTGCACCACATCTCTGGGCAGCCATTCCAGAAATTTATCACCCTTCCTGTAAAAAACTTTTTCCTGATATCCAGCCTGTATTTCCCTTGGTGCAGCTTGAGACTGTGTCCTCTGGTTTTGTCAGTGCTGCCTGGAGAAAGAGCCAAGCCCCAGGTGAGCACAGGCACCTTTCAGGGAGTTGTAGACATTGATACGGTCACCCCTGAGTCTCCTTTTCTCCAAGCTAAACACCCCCAGCTTGGCGAAAGACAGAGACACAGGAAGAAAGGTTCAGACACAGGAAGAGAAAATCATAACATATCCTGGGGCATTACATTTCCTCCCCAGGGCACCCCAAGTTTTTGTTAATGGCCTGATTTCCTACTGCCAAGTGGAGGCAGCTTAGTCATACTTCATCTCTTCCTGTTGGATAACATTAAGTATTTTGGCAAGTGTAAAAGGATTGTTATAATTTGGTCATGCAAATGAAGTCTCATTACCTTTATAGGACACTAGATTAGAGGACCTCCTTCTCCACAGCCAGCAGATTAAACCAGTTAGAATACCTATCACAAAGACAATACTAATGATGCCAGCTGCTTGAGCACCTCGTCCTTTTTTTTCTGTATTTTTGTCACTTTCTGTGCCAGGACCACTGCTTTTCTTCTGCTGCGTGTCTACAATAAATAAATAGAAATAAATACAAAAGGATGTCATAAGGTGTAAATTTTCACATTTCATACCAGGCAAATATTTCACCAGGTTTTACATGCATAAAAAACTCTGAAGGAGTCAAGATTTGTGCTATTCATATCACTGTGATTTTGGTGATTCCTTCTGAGTGAGACACATCTCCAACTAATTATGTCTAAATACCAGTTTATTCTTCCCTGTCATCATATCACAGAATTGCATCCATTTTTCCTTTTTCTTCTTTCCTTCCAGCTTTGAGAGACTGTATGTTTGGTCTTGTATCTAGACTCAGTTGAAAATAAATCTATATAGAATCTATAATGTAAATCAGATAGTATTCAGAAATATGGGTGAAAACCTGCTTCCCTGAAATTAGTGAAGAATCTTCACTCATTGCTGCAAACTGAAGGTTTCAAATCACGTCTCTTCTTCTTTCAAGTATGATTGTGAGACTTTAAAAAAAGCCACAAAGTAGTAACGTGAAGGTCTTTTTCCCTCAGAAGAAAACATGGCAATGTCATTAGGAAACTAATGATGAGGTTACTTAGTTTTCCTTTAATTTGGGATGACAGCACGGCGTATTATCACATAAACACTCTACTGTGCAACTTCTGCTCATGTGTTCAATTTTTGCTCCTGGAAACAGTTTGTATTGTTTGCCTACATGCATGGGATCAGTGTTTGGGGTGTTCAGGTAAATTAGCTGTGGGTACCCAGCTACAGTTATGGAAACATTGCAAGATCCTTGCACCAGGGTGCAGAGACCTGTGAGAGAAAAGCGTGGCTGGACAGCAGTGAGATCAAACAGCCACCTCCAGACCAGCCTTCCACTCCAGACAGATTCTCTGCACAGGTTTTTGGAAATAATGAACTACAGCAGTGGTACTGGAACTGTAACTTCTTAATACCTTTTTGTTTTTTTTTTTAAATAGCTTTCTGGTTTTGTGAAGAATTGAGTGACTAAATACTTGCTTTTACTATTAATCATCACATCAGTAATAATTAGCACATTATACTTGTGCTAAGGTATATTGTTCTATTGAGCTTATATTGCCCATTTGCTGCAGACCTAGTTTAAGTTGTGCACTGTATTAAACTGAGTTTTGGAGAAACTGGAAATTGAACTTTGGAACTCGGCAGAGTAAAAAGCAAATGTTAGTGTTGCAAGGCCATTGTGTAGGGGGTCAGAAATCATGGATCTGCTTTATGGTGGCCCCTAAAAAACAACCTGACTCCCCAAACCATCATGTTCCTGAGGAACTAAAAGGTTAAGCTCAACAACTGCCTCAGATGCAAGAGCTTCTCAGTGCTTTTGTCATAACACACTTGGTGGGTTATTTACTTCACTGTGGAAGATTTAAACATCAAGTCCATTGGCTAAGCATAACTGGAGCTTGAAACAAAGCCCGAGATCTTCTCAGAACATTTTGGAGCTACTGAATTAATGCATAGCTGTTATTAGTGTGCATCTACAAACAGAGACATGCTGGTTGATACTCCTGCTACCTAGAAAATAGAGCCAGCATGAGGGAACTTACAGTTGGCTGACAGATTTTCCTGCAGCATCTCATTTTCTATGGAGCACTCTATTTGCATGTTAGAAGTGGCTTTCACCTTCAGCATGCTGAAAACACTGAAAGTGCCATCATTGTGGGGTGTGATGTCTGTTTGTGATGAATTCAGGCGACTGTTGTTCACTTTATTGATCCAGTAAACATTGGGCTTTGGGTATCCATTGCCAGACCTGCAGTAAAAGGTCACCTCCTCTCCAGTGCTGTCACTGTTTCTTATTGGTCCACTGAGTATTGGTTGGCTGTAACTCGCTGGAGAGCAAGAAGAAAAATAAAGAGTTGTTGACATTTTGAAACGTACTGGAAAGGCAACATTTTGGGATGGATTCTGAACAAAGTGCTGGATTTCACATCACCCTCATGACTTGAAAGAGAAACACCTGCAGGTTTGGTCTGTAAACCAGAGAGCTGAGACAAGCACTGGGAGGGCAGAAAGCTAAAGCCAAACCCAAAGGAAGAAATTACCAACTTTAGTTGCTGACACCCAGTCACATGCAAGAGCTCTCATACCCATGAAAAACAAGAAGAAAAGAAACAGACACTGGGTAAACAGTTTTTACATGCATTCTCCAAGGTTTACGTTCCCTGTCTGTAACATATAAATTAAGCAGAGCAGACTTCATTTCAGCAAAGAGCAGAAGTCTGTTTCAAAATTAAAGTTGTGCTTAAATATAATATTGAAATAGCACAAATATGAAAAGTGGAAATGAGAATTTGGGCAAAGTGACACAAGTTCTTACCTGCTAAGCTGAGAACCACTTCTGCCTGGTGAATCACTTTGGCAAGTTCAGTTTTCTCCTGCACTATGCATTTGTATGTATGTGCATCACTCTGGCTGACATTTAGCAATAGCAGAGAAAAATCACCATTTTCCAACCTATCCCAGAATAACTGAGTCCTGTCTTTAAAGCGAATACACTGATTACTGTTGTCATCTTGGCCAGAGATCAGTGCATGTACAACTGAACACTTTTCTTGGTAGGAATCATCAGCTATTTGCCAGTATACCCGTAGATTTTTTAATTGCAAGGGTTTCTTTTCATTATAAATGCAACTTAGTGTGACGTCGTCTCCAAGTTTACTGATGATGTTCTTCTTCTCTGCTGCGGTAACTACAAGATTAAAAGAGAGAGAGCGAAAAAAAAAAGGGAGGTTATGTGGGGAAAAATTACTTTCAAGTACATTATACCACATATAGACTCTAGTATTAGTTTTATAGCAGGTAGGTGAATATGCTCTCTTCCTAGTCATTCCTATCCTCCAAATTTCCAGTGGCTAATTCTCTCCATGTCTGTTTGTCTGTGCATTGTCCAAAGGGACCTTTTCTCTGAGTGCTAATCATTCCTAGCCCCACGGATACCCACATTTCACTTTGCACACTGACTGCAGACACATATTCAAGTCCTAATGCTTCAATAATCACTTTTTTTAAAATTAAGAAAAATGCCAAATAACTCCACTTAGATCACAAGAAGTGGAAACATTGATAAAAGAGTGCTGCCATTATTTTGAGACCCAAAAAATTAAAAAGGGGAGTAAGGTAGTATTTCTCAAAGCCGGCATGACAAAGCAACCACATTTTACTGCTACTGTCAGTGACACCCTCTGAACAAATACACTCAGCTGTTAAGAAAAATGCCAAATAACTCCACTTAGATCACAAGAAGTGGAAACATTGATAAAAGAGTGCTGCCATTATTTTGAGACCCAAAAAATTAAGAAGGGGAGTAAAGGTAGTATTTCTCAAAGCCGGCATGACAAAGCAACCACATTTTACTGCTACTGTCAGTGACACCCTCTGAACAAATACACTCAGCTGGCAAACCAGCACACCCAGGTACCTCCAGGGACACATTCATTAGACATTTACATCTTGAGGGTCACTTGAGGCAAAGTCAGCACCTTATCTGGCTTTCAGAACACTTTTCCTGCCTTTTGGAGATGAGAAAGGCAGCCTCTGCTCCATGTGGGCAAGGCAAAGGCACGAGGTGGCTGACAGCTGGTGCAGAAAGCACAGCTCAGTGAGTCCCACAGGGCTGGGCAGCTCTGCCACAGCCTCCCTGCTGGATCCAGACCAGCAGCCAAAACCTCACTGGTGCAACTGGTTGGAGGCACCAAAGCAGTGCTTGTGTTGTCAGTGCCAGGCAAGAGTGGTCAGGCACGGGGCTGGATGGGAGAGATTGCAGCTGGGGGAAGGGATTACGTGGGTGGATGGCTGAGGGGAAGGAAGATGACAGGAATGGAGGTTTGGAAATGCAGAAACAGTGGTGAGGTGGGAGGGAGGTGTCAATGTTAAAGGGGAACCTGTCTTTGTGAGGGAGCACTGAACAGAAACAGCTCATCTACACGTCTGAGTTGGGCACCCTGGTCTAAAACTACCACAGTGCTTGCAGGGAGAAAGGCAGGATGTTTACCAGGCACTGGGACTGAAATAACAAGCTTGAACTGCAACACAATTGCTTGGCTTAGATTTTGGGAAACCTGTTGGAATAGCAGGAAAAGTAATGCCCTGGCAAGATGGGTGCAACTTCATGACTGGCCAGAAACCAGTCATGGTTTCATCCTGGCCAGCCAGCATCTACTGAATCTGGTACAGTTTGTTTTGATATTGGGGCCAGGGAGTTTCCTTGGTGACTTTGTTGAGGTCCTTCTCAGTGATTAAGCAAGAACAGAGGAGAGAACTTTAAAAACACTTCAATATCACCAGGTGGTGCGATTTAATTCTACCGTTGTTTTGCAAGGGATATTTTAGAACCATAGTTCTAAAATATGCAAGAGCATATTTTAGCAAATTTACTCCACTTGTAGTAGGAGTAAATTTACCACTAATAAGCAGTAGTAAAATTACTAGTGTTGGCTACTTGTTAATGTGACGTATAATTCTACCCTTGATTATGTTTATCTGCTTATCAGCAGCTCTTATTACTTCACTTCTAAGGCCTTTTGTTGACAGAGATAAGTACACAGGGAGCAAGCAAAGCAATCTGAGCAAGAGCATCCATAAGATCCCTTGCTGTTCTCTGCAATGAAAATGATAGAAATTGATTGTGCTTTTTTTCCCTGATGCATGCCAGAGAAACATTTCACTCTGAGGAATTTTTCAGTATCTTGTAGAAAACACAGAGATGTTCATATTGTGCATTTTACAACTATTTTGTGCATTTGGCCAAACACATTGAAGGGAGGGCAGTTAAATTTTTACTGAGTTTTTCTGAACTTACCAGTTTTGAGGATAAGAAGGAGCAGTAACAGAAATCCATACCTAAAATGAAAATCAAACGGGAGTTACAACTGACTTGGCATCTCTGTTGTTTAAATAAGCAATAAACCCAATTTTGATTGTTTTAATATAGTGCCAGAAATAGGTAAATTAGGTACTGCTTCTATGTAATGCCCCATTAAGTATTTGCATTTTTGACAGCTGCAAAACTTCTGTTTCTACAACTCAGCAGTGGTTTGGTGGCCAAGGCCACAAATAGCAGCAAAATGCACTAATATTGGAATCAGGGCAGAGGGCATGAAGCTGGTGCTGGGCCTGTCTTCTCTTCTGAAAGAATCAATTGGTCTGCTGGACAAACAGGCTCTGGAGGCTGTCTGGGTCACTGGGAGGGACAGTGGCTGCACAGGTCAAAGCCCAGGTTTTCCAACCTTTTGCTGAAATTCAAGGAGTCATTTTGTCTGGTTAAAGGAAAACAGCAGCTGACCATGCTGCCCACCAGGTTGTGCACCAAGTAAAAATGTGTAAACAGGAAACCTGCAGATAGTGGAGAGCTGTGCAAAGGTTTTTGCTGGGAAGAATTTGGTGTGTTTGATTACTGAGGAGGGGCAAATTTCTGCAGGAGTTTCTCCAAAGGAAAGGAGGCCATAGGAAACCCAGTTTAACCCACCTATAAAGCCCAAGTGATGTAACTCTCATCCCACAGGGGTTTAAGATAAATGGACAGCACTTCCCTGTGAATTACTTTAAAACAGCCTTTCACCATCACACCTAGTTACACATTGTGCTCTCCAGACTGCTGTGGGAAATGAAAGAAAAATGCTGGAAAAGTTCTGGAATGAGAACTGTGTGGCTGAGCTGGCCACCTTGACACTGCTCAGGTGCAATAGGGTTGCAAAGCCAGAGTGACATGAGCACTGGCCTGTCACCAGTGTACCCAGCTCACCTTTGCAAGCAGGACTGAGAGGCCACACTACCCAGGTTCAGCTGGCTCCCTTCCCCCACAGTTCTCATGATGCCTTAAGTTTTAGCTTTCACATTTTCCAGATTCTGTACTGCATTAGCACAGAATTCTGAACTTCACATAAAGTGTTAGCAAGTTCTCTTCACAGTTTAATTAGATAAAACAATCATTTTCCAGGCCCAGAACCAAGGACACCACTGCAGCTTCAGCCCCAAAAAGTGTAACAGAGAACTGAGGAGAGCAATCAGGGAGGATGGGACTCCATAACCTGAAGCTGTAATTGGACAATTAACCCCAATATGTAAATAGACCAAAACTTATAAAAGTGTGAAAAGGTGTGACCCAGGAACCCATCTTGAGTGTAGCCACAGCCAGGCTCTTGTACTGCCCAAGGTGTATCCTTTGAAGGCCTTTTGAATAAATCCCTACTTTATTCCTTTAACACTGTCCAGCCTCTCTTCCAGGTAGCCTCTGTGTTCTTTGAAATTATTTGATAGATGAGGCTTGAAAAGTTTAAGTAGATGCCCAGTGTGGAAAATTTCTGCTCTATTTCTTCAGTAAATCTGCAATCAGTTTCAAAGGAAGTCTCCCAGGGAAGCACACCTAAACATTCTGTTCTGTCTCTTCTACTACTTCTCTTTCATTAAACAGTTTATCAACCAATATAAAATATGTAAAACATACAACCCTACAAAACAGAACAACAACAGATTTTCTTTTACTAATGCATAAACCTAAGTGTAAAGATTTTGACAGTGGCCTTTACACATGGATTTGTATTTTTTTTTCTGTTGTATTTTTTACACTGTTCAGGAGTCATCACTTTTGTGCCAGGCTTGTAGAGGTCTGTCTTGGCAAGCTCAGCTCATGTAGTCATCAATCTTTCTTAATCCCATACCTGTGTTTGTTTTATTATCCCCATCCGAAGTTAGAAGTGGTGGATATAGCAACTCATTTGAATAGAATGAAAACAACAACTGACTGATGCTTATGTGACTCTCTAGGGATTTTCCCATGGTAGGCATTTGCTAATGCCAACAGACATTTAGATATTCAGCCAGAACTGATTCTCATATGTATGTATACAAAGCAGATCTTGATTTCTCATTTTAATAAGTGATGCCACAGTCAAGGTTAGACAGATCCAGAGATGCCTCATCCTCCTTCTTGAAGGAAGCTGCAGCTGTGGTTTTGTGGGGGCGGTGTCCACCTACGATGTTCCCCTGGAATGGCTTTAGTTCCAAAATTCAAGGGAGAAATGCTCTGCCTGCAGAGAAACATCCCTTTGGCCCTCTACATTCACTCAGATCCTGTGTCCACCATTAGTTGTGAGCTCAATTAACTACTGGCATAAGTGCACAAACGTCTTTGGGTCTTGCTCTCATAATTTTTAAAAAATATTTACATTTTTTAACTTTTTCAATTCTTTCCCACACCTTCCCCTTCTGCAAGTGTTTTAAAACGCCGTGTGAAGCAGGAGAAAGTTGCACTTCTCCTTTCATGGGTGAGATGATTCTTCCTACCAGCACCTCAACTTTTTCATCACTACTCATCTTAAAGCCACGGGATGCTGCTGCCGTGGCACGCTCTAGCCAGGCAAAGACATCCTGATGCTTGCAGTACCAGCTCTGGGGGCTTTGCTCCACTGCTGAGACCCGCTTTGTCCCCTGACCTTGTGGCGACAGCTCTTCTCCATCAGCAGGTGCCCTGAGCAGGTCACCTGCGGAGCTTTCCTCACACCTGCTGTAAAGCAGCGCTACCCGGGGCAATAAACCCCAGCAGAGTCATGTCCCATCGCAACCCTTCAGCTGAAAATATCCATAAAGGCCCGATAACTGCCTGGAGCCCTCGACGGCCGCGTACGGACAGGGGATCCCTGCCCGGGCTGAGGGGGAGCTCAGGTAACGCCCGGCTCCCCCTCCGGGCTCCGGGAGCGCTGCCGGTCCCCCTCCCGGGTCCGAGGGTCGCCCTGACTGCATTTTAGCAGCCCAACCCCCGCCAGCGCTTTCTCTGCCCACCACAGAAGTAGCAGCAGCAAAACTCGCGTTTCCCAAGGGAGATGCGCATCCCCGCCCGGGCAGCGGCCGCCGCGTCCCGGCGCGCACAGGGAGCGGCGGCAGCGACCCTTCCCCGCGGCCACCACTCACCCTCGCGGCTTCATCGTGCCGGAGCCGTGCCGAACCAGCCGAGCCGAGCAGCAGCCGCCCGCCTCGAGCCGTTCCTTTATCCCTCCCACGCCTCGTCCGCCGGGGATTTCCGCCTTCCGAGCAGCCGGGGCGCTGCGCTGCGCGGGACCCGGCCTGGCCCGGTCGTGAGGGGAGCTCGGGCACCCACTCGCAGCCCTTCTAGAGGCCACAGAGCCCTTCCAGAGTCCACCGAGCCCTTTCGGAGCCCCGTCGGTGCCGCTGGAATGGGGATCCCGGCTCCTGCAAGTCCATGTGCCCTGGGGGAGGACGCCGGGCCCCGTGAGGCGGGCCGGCCCTCAGCGCGGCCGGGGAGCCGGGGCTGGGCACGGACACAGCGGCTCCTCCGGGCTCCGGAGCGCTGGAGATCGGGGCCCCAGCCCCCGGTGATCTCGAAGAATCCTGCCTGGGAAGCGGGAAAGTTGCACTTCAAAGTACGCTTAGGTGTATGCTTGCATAAATAGCATATTTATTCCGTATTTTGTAAATGGCTGAATGGGGTTTGATAGAGAACAGAACCGCACCTGGAGCTGTCGTAGGTGTGTTGGTGAGGGGGTGTTTTAGCACCTCCCGGCTATTTGAAAGCTGCGGTTCTCAGTCTCGACAATTTCATTTTCGGCTCCACATCGGTGGCTGCGTTTGCTTCGTTTGTTGTCAGGAGCTCAAACCCAGCTGGGACCTCTTTGCCAGCACGAGCGTTTGTGACACACAGCACACAGCAATGGTTAAACGTTCATGTTTTATTTTTTCCTTGCTTTTAGTCACCCTGGGAATGTGATTACGTTGTGCACAATGAACATGAAACTCTGGGTTGTGCAAGACCCGCAATCTCGGGGCCGTTTCCGCTGGCAGCCAGCAGCAAGAAGGGGGATTTCAGTTTTGGGTCTTACAGCTGATGCTACTTCAGCCTGTGTGTTACTGACACCTGCAAACCAGTGATCACTGTGGGAGCGTAGGCTTAAATTTGTCCTAAGTTTAAAGGAAGATAAACATTCCTATGGAATTACGCCTGAATCCGAACATATTTTCATCAGCCAATTCATGTCTCACTGAAATATTTCCTGATGGGATATCTTAGTTTGTGAACTGTTCTTTAGATATTTTAGGTGTTGTTTTTAATAACAGGCATTTGGTGAATGGGGATGCACATGGAATCAGTGCTTTGTGGCTAAAAACTTCCTGACTTTAAAAGCTTGGGAGTTTATATGCGACTTTTTACAATTCTGGATATATATATTTTTTTCTAAGACACATAATTTGAAAGAACTCTTCTGCTGTTCTTTGCAATGGCTTCTATCCTGCTTTTTTCATAATTATGTACCGATTTTGGTGGAAAGGAATTTCCCAATAAGCAAGAAAGGCAAATGTGTCTCCATAGCCAGGATTTCGAAAGGTCAGGTGGTTGCAAACCACTTTGCTGCCTGTATCAGATTTTTGAATGTAGATTGCCTGATGACTTTTTAATCTATAAGGCAACCTTGTCATCTATTTCCCTTCTAAATGGTGTTCATGAAGGCCCAGCCTTATGCAGGTAACTTGCCCCTACCTGCAGAATTCCTCAGAGGACACGACACATAAGGATGTTCTTCTGCCACTGCCACAATGTCCATTCCTATGGCACACACTGAACAGCCCTGTGGTTAATAAAAGCAGGTTCTCACTGCTAAATCATTGCCATTACGTATAAGATGTTTCTTAACACACAAGAAAAAAAAAAAAAGAGAAGCAGCTGCAGCTGATATGGTTCCTTGTATACGCTGAATAGCATACAATAAAAATATATTTTTATTATTTTGAACACAGATTTTTACTTTGGTATTTGCTAGCAATAAGTTGAGGTATTTTGTTCAGGGTCAAAAGAGAGACCTCAGTGACACAATCTTTGCCCTACAAGTATCACATCAAAAATAAGATGAACAGTAACAGAGATGTTTGAAAAGGAAAAGCCTATGTGAAATGTTTTCATAAAAGATGTGGTTCCTCATTCCTATTACCATGCACTTACAGAAAAATTCAGACAGAGAGCCGAGTTCCTAGAGTGGTTAAAAAACACCCAAATTGTTGACAGCTGATTTGTCCTCTCTTCACTGTGGACACATGACTTGACACAAAGCATCTGTGTCAGGAAAAGAAAGTAACTCCCATAGCTTGTGTGTGGCAAATATGTTGCCTATGGACTTTGAAACTAGAAACACTGGGAAGATTTAGAGAAAAAAAAAAAAAAAAAAAAAAAAGAGAGGAAAACAATATCCCTGTTTTTCCAGGCTCTTAGAGAAGTGAGAGAGCTGTTTGCTTTCAAGTGTGTCATGCAAAGAGAATTGGTGGATCTGCAAAACACTCATCTTACTAATAGAGTTATTGAGAATCCAGAGTGAAACAGAGACATACCCCTCTTTATATACAGAAGAAAAGATCTCAGATTGAACACCTCTGGGGACAGGAAAAAGGGGTGACATGGCTGTGTGTGGTGTGTAGGACTTCAACTGTATTTGGAGTCAGACAGCCATGAAAGAAGTGCTGTGACACCTGAAAATATCACATCCTTATGGAATGATGGCCACAGATCTCTGGCTTTTGCACTGTGGAGGTTTCAGTGCATGGTACAAAAGCTTTACTAGAGTCAAGTTTGCAACTGAGTAAAAGTTGCAACTGGGAAAAAGTCAAGAGAGAAATCACAGTAGCTTTGGCCACTTGTGTGATTTTATGTAAGGCTAAAGAACAAAAGCAGGTACAAGGCGTGAGTGATTTTGCTACACTTTTCCAACACTTTTTCTCTGCCTACAGAGAAGCTAGTAGAATTAGCAAATGGAGGAGGGACATTTAATAGAGGATGAGAGGAGGATAGTGCACAAGCAAATTTTTTTCCTTAACTAGTAGAGACAGTGGAGTAAGACAGCAAAGCTGACTGCTAAGAACAGTCTGGTGATGAGGGAAAAGATGCAATTGCAGTTAAAGTGTCTTGTGATTCTGAGAAAACCATTTGTCAGAAGTCAATGAAAAAGAGGAAACAATAGTGTGTCTGTTTGCTCTCTTGCTCACATTTTGTTGTCACACCAGTCACTCAGGGAATTGACCAAAAATATCACTTTAAACACCCAAATTCCAAGATTGTTCCATGCAAAAGAGGAAACCTGTAGCCCTGTAAAACACATGTTTTGGGCAAAATGTACTCTCTTGGGCAGCAATGGAAATGCATTTATTTATATGCAGAGAAGAAAAGTATTGTGTTATATTTAGTTGTGTTGTTAGAAAGGAGCACTGATATTCACAGTTCTTTATTAATTGTGCATGTTGAAATAGTTGATTTCCTGTTGTTTTAGGAATAGCAAGGGAATAACTACCTCAGCAATACTTTTGCCAGCTCACTGTGTGTGGGCATGTCAAAAATAAAATAAGTGATCCACCATGGTATGTCATTGCTGAAAATGTCTCTTCAGCCTCTTGTATTCAGGCCATGTTATCCTGTGTGGAATGATTCCAAAGAGAAGAGTGCTCTTGCTGTCTGAATTGCCCTCTGCTCCTTTGCTCAGTTTCATTTCTGCCAGATAGCCTTTGCTCTGATCATTTGCTCAGGACACTAGATAATGCAGCAAAGAATCTGTTTGGGAATAGAGTTCACAGCGTTTTGAGTTCACAGGTTTTAGAGTGTGAAATGCCTTCTGGAGAAAGGTTACTTTCTTTTGCCCAGGTTCACTCCACTGATTATAAGAATGACAAGAGAGGGAGCACAGCTGAATAAACTGAGCCTCAAGCCAGATGCAGATGCCTTTAGCTGAGGGAGAGAAGGACCAGATTTTCTCAAACCATCCAGCAGAGGTTTTCCTTCTCCAACAGAAAGTTGTTCATGTTTAGGACGACTTCTTCAGCATGGCATTTCTAATCCTACATAACACACAGAGCACTGGAATTCCTCTGAGCAACTAAAAAAACCCCATCACAGCTAAGCCTGGATCCCAGTGACTGCAAACTCTCGCAGAAAGCATGAATGGGGGGGTCTGTGGTGCATACACTGGTTGCTATCTGGTATAAACTAAAACATAAATTTATTTAGAACCTACCAAAACTGATTTCAAACCTCAGCCTTCCCAAACTGTGGTAAGATGAAGTCCATAAAATGCCCTACAATTAAGGTAACTTTTTGTTTGTGATCATGGTGATCTTCTGGGAGGAGAACTAATGAAATGTTCAGAGAAAATGCTTAAGAGCCATGGTGGCAATATCTGAACAGGTGAAATGTTTTTCAGATGCAAACAAAATTACATAAAGTCTCAAGACTAATACTTAGTTAAGGAAATAAAATGCAGCACAGGTATTTGCTGTACAAATTAAAGATTACATCAAAAATTTTTAAGAAGCAGATTAAAAGAAAGAATATTATCCATAATTTTATATATATAATTGTAAATTGATTATCATTATGTCAGCATAACTGTTAAAATAAATGAGCTCTGATTTGAAATTATAAAACATATTAAGCATGTGTTTGTGTTTTAAGTCTAAATGGACCATAGAGAAAGCTATTTTAAGAACAGGTATTGTAAAAAAAAAATCTTAACACTACGTTAGAAAGAAAATATGTATGTGTCCTGCTCTAAGCCACTGCCATGAAGCAAAGAATCTAGCAAATTTTGGAAATAAATCTCTGATATGAAAATATACCCTCTTGAAGAAAAACAGCTGTATTCCTGGCTACATTAGTGCCAGAGCAAAACAGTGCCCATCACAGAAATAATGTTTTAATGTTGTCTTTAGAAATAAAAAATACAGAAAAGTGTTTATTTCTCCTCATAGCACAGTCAAATAGGAAACCATGTAATGCAACAGGATATGATATGGGTGCCAATTAGTGAGAAACAGGAACTGAAATCTGTGTGGCTTAATGTTGTTTATTGAATGATTTGATAAAATATAGTACTACTGCTAGGATTTGATGAGAACTGTAGTTTCATTTTATTGTAAAAAGCTGGTTTGGCCCTTAAATAACTCAAATTCCCTTTGGCACCACTTACAAGTGCAAAGTGTAGATATAGTGTAGTGTGGCATTTGGGTTTTTGAAAATGTGGTTGCAGGACAGATGGGTGGCTGGGCTGAATTCCCCTAAAAGCCCTGTCTTTCAGGGGGTGCAGTGCTCAGGACATGAACCTGATTCCATCATGGGTTAGAGGCAGGTCAGTAGCTGCCAGCACAATGAGTCCAGGTGGGGATCTGCCTGCGGATGCTGCCTGGATTTTTGGGTGTGCTGCCATGAAATGCAGCCATGGATGTGCTGCCCCTTTCTTCTATTCACAGCAGGGCAGGGCTCACCCCAGAAAGTAAAAAAGGAGTAATATTGCATGGCTTATCAGCTGGTGATCAGCTGTCCAACATCTTCCTCCAGCCCCTGGTGCTTGACTTCTTGCACCATTGATTGCATACATATAATATTTTGTAATGTTTTAATTCTGACTTTTCCAACTTATTTACTTCCTTTTTTCCCCTGGCACTTGTCTCCAGCTAATATTGCACTTATGGCCTCTTTGTCCTTTTCCCATCACTGCTGCTGGTGTGATGTGATGCAGGCAAGATTTGGTGGAGCAACATACACTGCTGTACTAGTTACAGCTCAGAGAGAGAGAAGTGGGTTTTATTTCTCAGTTTTCTTTGTCAGATTATTGATTGTGATTTTATTTTGCAGGGAGAGAAAGAGGGAGGGAGGGAAGGATTGACAGGTGAAGGCAATAATGTGATCTTTGTCTAGACACATTCTGGAGATAATACACTCTGGTTTTCATTTCTGAAAGGGACATTTCGAAGACTCTGCTCTTTTGTGTGAAAAGAAGTCACGATCTGCCATAACTTGATGATATTTAAGATGAGTTTTTGCATTTAATGACTCAGAAATAATTTTTCCTGGGGTAAAGAAGGATGTGATCTGGCAGGGTGTCAGCTGCTCGGTGAGCACTGCCCACTCTGCTGTTACTTCCCTGAAATCCTCCAGAAAGCAGTGAAAAGGAGATGAACGTTGCCATTCATCTACACACACATGGGTTGTCATGCTGCACAGCCAGCACTGTGAAGCAAACATTGACCCCTGCTTTTGTGACAGCTGAGGTGACCTTGCTCCAGAGAATGGAGAACACTCCTGCTCTGCCATCTGGCTCCAGCCCTTCAGCTTCCCAGGCATCAGCACTTCTGGGACCTGCTCCTGGGGCAGTTGGCTTCAGCCACAATGCTCCCTTTGGCACAATGAACAAAGAAAAATCCCACAGTTTGCTTTCTGAACATGCTGTACCAGAATACTAAGAAAGCTGGCTAGCCCCCAAGGCTGACAGACATCCCAGCCACCTCCACCCAGGCTCCCTTCAGACTTCATCCTTCATTCCAAAGACAGTAGCAGAGGAAAGAGCAGCTGGAGACTCTGGCCTGTTTGCTCCCACAGGCACCTTACTCATCTCTTGTCTTGTTTAGGATCTGTATTTGTTCTGGTGACTTTGCAGAGGCTGAAGGGTCATTAAACTTGCTATTTTGACTCCTCTAAGCCACCAGAGTCAAAGGGCCCTGAGTTGCTCAGCAAATGCTTGGCTAGAGCATCACCTTCATATAGGAATGTGCCCCATGTTGATGGAGTGACAAAACTACCCTTTGTCCCCTCAAAAAGGAAATAAGCCCAGAAGTTTCTCTCCTCAATGAGGTGAAAAGGCATCTCATAGGACCTGGGGAACTTCACCTCAAACTTAAAGATAGCTAATTGGACAGAAGCCAAAATGTCCTGCCTAAACAATTTACTAGAAAAAGAAGATAATAAAGAAATGAATCGCTTTTGTGAGGTGTTTTACCAAGGACAAGAGAGCCTCTTGCACCTAGATAATTTTTTCTCTGTAAAGAGTTTTGTTATTTTGCCTTTTATTAAAACCTTTTTGTTTCCAACACTACCACCGAAGCCATCCTGCTGATGTTATGCCTTCTAAGGTGACTGAGCTATCTTGGGTGTGAAATATATCTCCAAGAGCTTATGAGACCTGGTTCAA